TTCCCTTCTTTTATAGAGAAATCTTTTTAATTATGCATTCGATAAGTTCCAAGTGCAGTGGGTTGAAGAATATTTAGCTGCTTTGAATCAGGAATAACACTTTTAGATATGAAAGTTCCATGGACCAAACCTCTGGTGATTAGGCGTGTTGGAGGCTTTCTTGCCACCCTCAAGATCGTAAAAGCATCAATGAGGTTCTATATACTACAAGCAGTGAACATGAAAAATTAAGACTAATGCAGTTCCTCTGACAGAGGTCCCTTTCCTGCACACTGAATGGTTGGTCTTTCTTCATTAATCTAATCTGAAGCAACAAAGTGCCTTATAATTCTCCATCTTTAGGTTCAAATTGAATGTATTGTGATATTTTAGGGTCAACTGAGAGAGTTAAAAGAAAGTTCCAACAAAGTAAAAGATGAAGCCAGAAGGATGTTGTCTATTGCTAAAAAAGCTACCAATACTGCTCAGGATGAAGAACTCTCCCAGGAATGGAAAAATGTAAGTCTTCTTGAAATTTAAAGCCTTTGTGAGATTTTATTGTTGAATACTATTCTGAAATATGACACACCTTAATGGTATTTGTGTAGCAGTTGTACTTCTATCGCTGAAGTGCTTGTATACAGTATAACAGTGTTTTGTATATGTTAATAGCAATCATTGATGATTATATTTTCCAGCTATTTTCAACCTGTCCGCTGGAATTAGAGACTATAGAAGCTGAAATACATGAAGAACAAGCTCGAGCTGATTGTACTTTACAGACTGATGAATCGGTAAATTTATTTTCTAGTGCCTTGTCAGTTTAAACGTTTATTACTTGAGACCGCAGACTCAGGGTTCTGTTATTGTTTACTTCATATTTTGTGATAATTTTAAAGGATCCAGCCTCTCCACAATGTTCTGTTAGAGACTGAGTTGTTTTCAGGTTGGTTTGGATTTTAGATAAGGCACACTCAATGAAATTATCACCACCATAACCATTCAGGCTTTTAATGTATCTCTCAAGGGAGATAACTCTTGATACATACTTGATGTCTTAAGACCACAATGTTACAGTATGTCAGACCATGATTATATATACATATTTATATCTACAGGTAGTAAAAGAGTATCATAAAAGAAAAGATTCTATCAATAAACTAGAGAAAGAGTTAAAACAGAGATTAACAGCTAAAGAAAACCATCAAGATGAGGTGAACCGAGCTAAAGAAGAATGGCTAGGGCCTTTACAACAACTTATTGCAAGGATCAATAAAAATTTCAGTTATTTTTTTCAATGTATGAAATGTGCTGGGGAGGTTGAATTGGCAATCCCAGAAAACCCTGTAAGTAAACAATTATATAATTTCAACAGGCCAGGTTTTGTGCTTCAGCTTTCATTTGATGAACATTTTAAATAGTAATTTTTTAAATGTCAGGAGCTGACATGGAAAAAGCATATAGTGTTTTGTATATTTCTAATGTAGTATATTTTGTAAATATTCTGAGGCAACTCTTCTAGCAAAGGTTAGCTCAGTGCATGCAAATTATCATAATCAGGATTAGAAAAGAAGTAAGTACAGGTCTGTTCATTTATAGTAGCCTACATTCAATTCAATGACATGGAATTAATCTTACTAATAATTTATATTTTGATTGTAGGAAGACTATGAGAAGTATTCAGTTAAAATTAAAGTTAAATATCGTGATGCTGATGCTCTAAGGGAGTTAACTCCACATCATCAAAGTGGTGGAGAGAGAAGTGTCGCTACTGTATTATATATGTTGGCATTACAAGAATTAGCCAAATGTCCTTTTAGATGTGTTGATGAAATTAATCAGGTAAGCAATGGGTATGGGTCCCTATTCGTACCTGTTACTTGTTAGCGATATTGACATCGTACCTGTTACTTGTTAGCGATATTGACATCGTACCTGTTACTTGTTAGAGATATTGACATCGTATCTGTAACTTTCAGCAATATTGACATCGTACCTGTTACTTGTTAGCGATATTGACATCGTATCTGTAACTTGTTAGCAATATTGACATCGTACCATTTACTTGTTAGCGATATTGACATTGTATCTGTAACTTGTTAGCAATATTGACATTGTATCTGTAACTTAATAGCAATATTGACATTGTATCTGTAACTTGTTAGCAATATTGACATTGTATCTGTAACTTAATAGCAATATTGACATTGTATCTGTAACTTGTTAGCAATATTGACATTGTATCTGTAACTTAATAGCAATATTGACATTGTATCTGTAACTTGTTAGCAATATTGACATTGTATCTGTAACTTAATAGCAATATTGACATTGTATCTGTAACTTGTTAGCAATATTGACATCGTATCTGTTACTTGTTAGCAATATTGACATCGTATCTGTAACTTAATAGCAATATTGACATTGTATCTGTAACTTGTTAGCAATATTGACATCGTATCTGTAACTTAATAGCAATATTGACATTGTATCTGTAACTTGTTAGCAATATTGACATCATATCTGTAACCTTTTAGCAACATTGACAACGTATCTGTAACTACTTAGCAACATTAACATCGTATCTGTAACTTGTTACTGTTAGAAATATTGACATTGTATCTGTAACTTGTTAGCAATATTGACATCGTATCTGTAACTTGTTAGCTTCCTTTATATTAATCTATACTATGTCAGTTGACTAGAAGTCGTTAATCAAACATTATAATGACTGAGCTGTGCACATGACATATTTAAATTTCAACAGATACATGTAATTGATTTAGTGCTGCAAAGTTGCTGAGTTTTTTTCATTAGTATATAGTTAGTTATATATTACACAGGGAATGGATCCAGTCAATGAAAGAAAGGTGTTCGAATTAGTGGTAGAAACAGTGTGTAGAAATGCCAATTCACAATATTTCCTTCTTACACCTAAGGTTAGTATGATATCTTTTCCATTAAACTGATATTATGAACCATAACAAACAATGTTATAGAAACATTGTTTCTCCTTTCCACTGAGCTGATATTATGAACCATAACCATCAATATGAACCCAGAATTCTGAAGTGAGTTGCAGAATGAATAAGATGTTGATTAGTTCACTACCAATATTTTTATGAACCGTGACAATGGGGTTCTGAACAACAAATAATCCTACATAACAATTCAACGGAATCCTTCTATTATCTATATTAGCCATAAAACTAAATAATCATTATTAAGATTACGTAGTTATTGAATTATACTGGGACTCTGTTGTATAGGTAAGTCCAACTGGTGAATATAAATTCTTATCGGCCAAGTTTGAGAGGTAAAGAGGTAGTAAGCTTATCTCTCTCATGTTATACAATGAACAACAGTCATATTCCCCTAAAACACAGATATTTATAACCTGTAAATATCTACTAATATGTGTGTTAAGTTCCATTTAACCTTCTATATATCCACAAGAATCTGTCTTTTGGTCATTTGATCAGTTAACCTTGTATTTCAGTTACTGCCAGATTTGGAATATGCTGATAACATGAGGATACTGTGTGTTCAAAATGGCCCGTTAATGATGAACCATACTGACTGGAAGTTAAAGGCTTTCTTAAGAAGAAGGAATAATATTAACTGTGATTCTCAAGACAATTGATAGATTGAATGTGATCATTTTAGTCTTGAAATAGTGCCTTAATCACCATTATAAAAGTACTACATGTATAGTGATCCCATTTTCAAATTTAAAGAATTAAAATTCCTGAACTCAACCTTTAGATATAAGGGCCAAAATCATTCTGTTTCACTGAAGAAAAGCGTGATATCGACTTTAAATGTAAAGTGCTGATTTACTAGATTCAATGTTCACAAATAGATATTACACTGTACTGCCTTCATACCAAATAAATGTTCAAATCAACCTGAGACAGTTGTTCAAATCAACCTGAGAAAGGTGTCAAAATAAACCTAAGAAGAGTGTTCTAATCATCCCAAGAAATGTGTTCAAATTAACTCGAGAAAAGTGTCCAAATCAACCTTAAAAACATGTTCAAATATACATGAGAAATGTGTCAAAATCAACCTGAGAAAAGTGTTCAAATCAACCCATGAAAAGTGTTCAAATCAACCTTAGAAACATGTTCAAATATACATGAGAAATGTGTCAAAATCAACTCATGAAAAGTGTTCAAATCAATCTAAGAAAAGCAATAGGAGAAAATTGTCCAAATCGACCTTAGAAAATTCAAATCAATGATGATAAAAGTATTCATTCCTGTATCAAAGAATACAAATCTACTTAAGATAAGTGTCAAAATCAACCTTAGAAAAATGTTCAAATCAACCTGAGAAAGTGTTCTATTCAATTCTACTCAAACTATTTCGACTTGATGTTAGATCAATGAAAACCACCATTGCAATTTAAGATATGTGCCAAATCATGGCATATTTATTTAAGTAAATCAAAGTTTAATTTGGTTAAAAAATATTAAATTTCAATTAAAATCATAGCATTGATTACAGTTTTATTTTGAATAAAACTCAAGAATTTGAGTAGATTATTTATATATTTATTTGAGTTTACCTTATCTGGATGTGGACAAATTAGGTAGTATGAGGTAGTATTTTAATTTTTACATTCAAAGAAGACAACCTCTTAGATTGAAATTTAAATGTTATCACACTGGTGTCTGATTGCTGCAATATTACGAAATATTAGAAATGGGAAAATAAAGATGCTGATTGATTATTGTTGGATCTTTCTTTGTTATATTAAAAAAATAAACTACGGATTCTGAATGTTCGTTTGTTAATCGAAAAAAGATGGCTAATGTCGCTGTCTTGGCTAAATTCCCCTTGTTGCATCCTGTATGGCATGTCCCGTCTTCATTAGTCCACAAGGTGCAGAAACGTAAAACTCCATTCATTTCATTTTTTTTGTTCGTTTGTTGTTTGTTTTCTTTAAACATGGTGGCTCAGAGTGATTAGTCGCGCCAAGACGCACATCTGATTCTGAACATGGCTATTTTGACTTGAGGTAGTTAAATAAATAATAACTGCTATAAACCAGGCCTACAAACAGTGTTGATAACTGCCTATCCTACCTCCAAATAAAGTGGATTATTTATCGTTTGAATCATACCTGGACGCTCTTTACTATGCTATACCTTAATACTCCGTTCTAAAATCAGAAAGAGAATATATCAAGATAGTACTTCAACTGGCTTTCCTCCTGTCATTGATGCAGGTCTAAGAGGTCGACATAGCAAATTGTCTTAAGCATTTTAATGTAAAATGGGTTAAAGATCCCTCAACAGATGGAACTCGCAATAAACATTCTCTTCTGTCAAAATGTAGATCTCAATACATTTAAATTATTTCTCCTCTCGCCGTATCTTAAAAAAGGTTCAAAACGTCCTTTTTAATTAGTTAATTATCAAGATGCTGGACAAACAATGCTGCTAAATGGAAATATCCTAGTTAAGTCATTCGGTTTAATCTTCACCAAGGTTCGTTAGCCTCCGTGAGTTGAGCATTCTAGCCCCGCAATTGATACGAATGTAGTTTGACATTCTTATATCCAATTTAATTTTCTGGCTGCTGGCTTTTATCAAAAAGTTTTCTCGTACTTTTATTTCTGCATAAAATCAAACAATTGTAATCATGAATATCATGTACTGATAACGCAGGTTAGCATACTGAGATCATGCATTTTTTTCTCCAAGATATTTCAGACGTAAAGCTATCGTGCTGTAATTACGTGAAATTTGATTTATTAAAAAAATGTATATCAACGGCTGAAACACGGACGTAATTTTTCAAAATTATAGCTTGAAAGAGATAACCTTGAAACCAGAAAGATACGATGATCTTCGTTACGATAGAATTTCAACCAGGACAATCACTCACCTTCACGATGTCAAGCCATTACGAAATTAGTCTTATACCTTGACTGCAATAGCCACTTATCATAGACATTTGAAAATGCAGCGATTGAATGGGATTGTACGCTTGAAAATACAGGCTATCAATGTCCTCGACAGAAAGCTTGTAAACATTAAGCCACATTTTTGTTCCAGGCTATCGGTCAAGATCTCTGATTGACTATATTCCACAATACTACACAGGTTGCTATTGTAGTCAAGTTACGAAGTCAATAGCTTGACATTATGAAGATGGGGACCACTAGCTCTTTCGAGAGTATTATTCAAGACCTCGTAATGTTAAATTTTTATACGCCCAAATGAAATTGGGGGCGTATATTGTCGTCACCCATGTCCGTCCGTCCGTCCACAATTGCTCGTAAACACTCTACAAGGCAAAATTCTTGATTGATTTTGACGAAACTCGGTATGGTTGTTTGTAATCACCCAAGGATGAAGCCTAATGAAAATGAGAAACATCTAAAAATATTTAGTATGAGTTATTTCCCTTGTTCTTGAAGCGCTCGTAAACACTCTAGAAGGTGCAATTCTTGACGGATTTTGATGAAACTTGGTGAGAGTGTTTGTAATCACTCAATGATGAACCCTATTTAAAATCAGAAATATTTAGTATGAGTAATTGCCCTTGTTCTTGAAAACGCGTTCAATTTTTAGCCTGTAAACAATCCAGAAGCTTCAATTCTTGACAGATTTTTATACGCCCACATGAATTGGGGGGCGTATAATGCCGTCACCCATGTCCGTCCGTCCTTCGGTCCGTCCACAATTGCTCGTAAACACTCTACAAGACACAATTCTTGATGGATTTTGACAAAACTTGGTATGAGTGTTCGTAATCACCAAAGGATGAACCCTATTGAAAATCAGAAGAATCGAAAAATATTTAGAATAAGTTATTGCCCTTGTTCTTGAAAGCGCGTTCAATTTTTAGCTCGTAAACACTCTAGAAGGAACAATTCTTGATGGATTTTAGCGAAACTTGGCATGAGTGTTTGTTATCAACCAGGGATAAACCCTATTGAAAATCAGAAAAATCGAAAAATATTTAGTATGAGTTATTGCCCTTGTTCTTGAAAAAGCGTTCAATTTTTAGCACGTAAACACTGTAGAAGACACAATTCTTTATTTAATCTTAATTAGTTTACTCTTTGTCTAGTTATCTTATCTAATCATTAGTTTGCTATGCTATTTACTTGTCATCACTGTGTCCCCAAGGACAACGTTGCATGGAATTATAATCATTGATTGTTTTTTCTTCTCTGAAGGTTGAATATTTCATAGTGGTAATTGTTAATGTACTGCCAAATATTTTTATTTAAAATCAAAGCTGCCAGTGGGCGTATATTACCTTGCCTGGCAGGCTATCTTATAGATTATTTGTCGAGAATGATGCTTCAAGAGATAGTGAGCTTTATGGAAAAAACAATCAATGATTATAATTCCATGCAACGTTGTCCTTGGGGACACAGTGATGACAAGTAAATAGCATAGCAAACTAATGATTAGATAAGATAACTAGACAAAGAGTAAACTAATTAAGATTAAATAAACAACTATTGTCGATATAAAAAGTGTTAGGAAGAGTACATTGTTTTATTTAAAAAGAAAGACAAGTTATTTTTAATACAAAATTTTTATAAACTAGAATGTATTATAATATGATATTGACAAATTTGATCTCTAAATGCATTGGAGGCTGTTACCCTTGCTATTACTGATTTGAATCGAATAATTGCACATTTACTCTGCAGATATATGGAGAGTGGGGAGTTACTTCAGTTTTCTGCTCAGATCATTTTTGAAATAATAGCCCCACTCAAAACACGTGCTGCAGCAAAAAATAAACTTAATAAATAAGGGAAAATAAAAGAAAACCGTAGCAAAAAGCTCGTCAAGTTATAGTAAATCTAGAGCTTGCCATGTGATTATACGTTTTTAACTTGTAAAGAGAAACTAAGTATTAAACCCGTCACGAGATAGTAAGTATTCAACCCGTCAAGAGATAATAAGTATTCAATCCGTCCAGAAATAGTAAGTATTTAATTTATAAAGAGAAACTAAATGTTTTACTCGTTAAGAGATAGTAAGTATTCAACCCGTCAATAGATAGTAAGTATTTCATCCTCCAAAAGATAATGAGTATTTAACATATAAAGAGAAACTAAATATTTAACTTATAAAGAGAAACTAAATATTTTACTCGTCAAGAGATAGTAAGTATTCAAGCCGTCAAGAGATAGTAAGTATTCAAGCCGTCAAGAGATAGTAAGTATTAAACCCGTCAATAAATAGTAAGTATTAAACCCGTAAATAATAGTAAGTATTTAACCCTCAAAAAGATAGTAAGTATTTAACCCGCCAAAAGATAATAAGGATTTAACTTATAAAGAGGAACTAAATATTTTACTCGTCAAGAGATAGGAGGAATTGAACCCATCAAGAGATAGTAAGTATTCAACCAGTCAATAAATAGTAAGTATTTAACCCGCCAAAAGATAATACGTATTTAACCCATCAAGATATAAGAAGTATTTAACCCATCAAGATATAAGAAGTATTTGACCCATCAAGATATAAGAAGTATTTAACCCATCAAGATATAAGAAGTATTTAACCCATCAAGATATAACAAGTATTTAACCCATCAAGATATAAGAAGTATTTGACCCATCAAGATATAAGAGGTATTTAACCCATCAAGATATAAGAAGTATTTAACCCATCAAGATATAAGAAGTATTTAACCCATCAAGATATAAGAAGTATTTAACCCATCAAGATATTAGAAGTATTTAACCCATCAAGATATAAGAAGTATTCAACCCGTCAAGAGATAATAAGTATTTGACCCGTCAAGAGATAATAAGTATTTGACCCATCAAGATATAAGAAGTATTCAACCCGTCAAGAGATAATAAGTATTTAACCCGCCAAAAGATAGGTGTTTAATTTGTATAGAGAAACTAAGTACATATATTTAACCCTAAGATATACGAAGTCGGACTCCAGTCAAACTTTGAGTTTGCATTGCTCAAACCTTATTAAAGTCATGCTCAACATATATATACATTCAAACGTTTAAAATGAAACCAGTAGTAATGTTACCTCTGTTGGTGACTTTCGCTAAAATCTACTGGTTTTATACACGAATTGGATAAATATTTTGATCAATTACGCTGTTTAATAGACCTTCACCAACTCACAGTTCCTCACAGTTCCTCACAGTTCCTCACAGAACTGTAAAATATCGCTCTAATGCATTTGAATGTTTAGATGATACAACATTAATTATGGATAGTATTGATATAAAAGGCAGGTGAAGTGGAGATAAACAGGAGCATGGCGTGACCATTTTGACTGGTGGTGTAGTGATGCAATCTACAGTCTTCAGTAAAAGTTATTGTTGGCAAAACGGTTTCAGTTGTATCAAGCAACAAGTCGACAAGTTAAGTGCAACATTTCCCAATGACTTGAAAGATTTTGATTTTACTAAGGCTGTCGGTAAAACGCGGAATCGTTCGGTGAAAAAAAATAATTGCCGAAGCCGTCGGTAAAGCCGATTGGTTGACCGAAAGCGTGAAAACCTGACAACAATCGGGATCTTTCATGTTATTTGGAAATGTTGCACTCAACTTTTTTTTTTACCGACAATCACTTGTAGACGAACAGTAACATCATAACCGACAAAAGGTTTTCATGCTTTCGGTTAACTCAACTGTTTTACCGCCGGCTCAAGCCATTATCGTCTTTTACCGACCGATTCTGCGTTCAGTAAACCCCCACGCTCCCGTACGCTACGTCCCAGATGCATGATGTGTGATCTTAGCAAGATTGGTGATATCGTAGCATGATGTGTGATATCGTAGCAAGATTGGTAATATCGTAGCATGATGTGTGATATCGTAGCAAGATTGGTGATATCGTAGCATGATGTGTGATATCTTAGCAAGATTGGTGATATCGTAGCATGATGTGTGATATCGTAGCATGATGTGTGATATCGTAGCATGATGTGTGATATCGTAGCAAGATTGGTAATATCGTAGCATGATGTGTGATATCGTAGCAAGATTGGTGATATCGTAGCATGATGTGTGATATCTTAGCAAGATTGGTGATATCGTAGCATGATGTGTGATATCGTAGCATGATGTGTGATATCGTAGCAAGATTGGTGATATCGTAGCAAGATTGGTGATATCGTAGCAAGATTGGTGATATCGTAGCATAATTGGTGATTTCGTAGCAAGTTTGGTGATATCGTAGCAAGATTGTTGATACCGTAGCAAGATTGGTGATATCGTAGCATGATGTATTTATTCATCTCAGTTAACACATCAAGAGATAGTAAGCATTCAACTTGTTAGGAGAAAGTAAGTATTTAACTTCTCAAGAGATAGTTAGTATTTCACCCCGCCAAGAGATAGTAAACATTAAACCCGTTGAAAAATATAAAGTATTTCACCCACAAGGGAATAGTTAGTATGTAACCAGCAATTAGATATTAAGTATTTGACCCTTCCAGAGATGGTAAGTATTCAAACCGACAAGAGATAGTAAGTAAGTACTTATATCGTCAAGAGACAGTAAATATTTAATCAGTCAGTAGTGTTGGTACACTGTCGAGTACATTAAACAATATTTTGAGATCATTGATATTGTTTTGCACCTTGACATAGAAAGTTGCATTTCTTATCTTGCCGCTCGAAGTAAATAAATTACTTAAACGTGTAGACAGTTGATAAAAAAAATCATCCGGGGTTTTCTTAAAATCGAAAGTAAGGCAAGTTGTGATATGAAGAAAAAGGGTCTGTGGGTTATCACTTGGCATAGATAGTTCTGTTGCTGACTAAAATTTGAAAACAATTTCACTCATGTTTATTTGTATAAATAGGGACGTTTCTCGTTGCACTAAACGCGGAATGAATGTTGTGTTGACACTAAAATTGCGGCTTTACTTTAAGCAAGATATCTGTTATCCACATCCGTAATTTTAAAAAGGTTTGAAAGAAAAATGAAATGAATCGAATTAGTGTTTTACCTCTCATGATATATGTGCCCGATTAGGCTTACACAGATCGGAAACACCATGTAATAAGCCAAATTTGCAACAATGCAATATTAGCTTTTTCTTTTTCGATTTCTAAATCTTACTGTCGATGGTTCTTTATTAGCCCACATGGTACAGAAACGTAGGACGTAAAACTCATTTCAGTTCTTTAACATGCACAACTTGTAGCACAGGAATTGTCGTTTACAGTCCTAATCAAACCCTTGGGAGCTTTTAACGTAAATCCAAACATTTCTATTAATATATGATACCTGTATAAGGTAACGTCAAGATTTACGAATTGAAATTTACTATAGCTGTTGTTGTTGAGGATTAAGAAATAATGGGATTAATCTATAAAACTATTTGTTTGCTTTCAGCACTAATAGGTAAGAATTAAAAGCTAAGCTGTCTGTGAATGGGATTATTTTATTTTTTCCGTTGAAAAAAATATTTAACGGTGCAGTCATCTATTGTTGACGGTATATCAACATTTTATTATTGTTATTGAAGGATTCACAAGGGAATTTAACCTTTGTATAATTTATATTGGAGACAATAGAACAGCAGCATTCTAAATTATCATTAGAGCAAATAATATCAAGTTTTTTGTCTTGAATATCAGAAAACACAGGCATCAGCGGGATATTGGAACGGTGTAAAGAAAATATATGTATGTGTCACCAATTCACACATATAGACTATTTACAAGCTGTATACCCTTCTTTATCAAGCAATTGGCTATTGGATGTTACCTATGCATGTGGCTCTATAGATTCAATCAGGCCCAAGCCTAGGGGGTGGGTGGTGGGCAGTGGGGAGGGAATTTCCCTCAGAATATATTACTAGCCCCTCCGAACAATCAAGTCTGGCTACGGACCTGGATGAAATATAGGGGCACTGACTTTTATCTTCCATTTGATTAAGGCTTTGATGATTGGCGTTTATTAATCCATATTTGTTATAGGGGCCAGTCAAGCAGGGATTTCTTGTGATTTTGAAACAGACTTTTGTGACTGGTATCAGATTAAATCTGACCACCTTGATTGGAAGCTAGGTACTTCAGGAACACCAGACAGAACTTCCGGTCCTGAACATGACCATACTACTGGGCGTAAGTTACACTATTGTCACCTCGATTCATTAATCAAACGACGCCATTCCTACACAGATAACAACATATTTATTAGCGGAAGAATCTGATACCGAAATTGCATTCGAAAAGGACTCAACGTGTGTCTTGGCAATTGGATTAATTCGTCGATCATATTTCGTTGATTATAAAATAAAAAAAACTAGTAACCTTTTTATCGTTTGATCTTTAATAGAAGGGAATTTCGCCTACCTAAGCGGTAGTCATGCCCGGTTAAACAATGCTTCCGGTGGAATGATCACACCGTTAGTGGTGACCAATGAAACGGCGACACTGTCATTCTGGTATCATATGAATGGTAATGGAATTGGCAGCCTGCTTGTCCTAATCATTGATGTGAACGGAAACAGACAAGAAATCACCAGAATTACTGGAAGACAAGGCAACGAATGGAGGAAAACTAGCTTCGATTTACCATCAGGATCTTTTAGAGTAGGTCTGAGATAACAGATTTCCATTAGAACTAAAAATATATTTTATCTATATTATAACACCATTTTCTAAAAGGGGAGTAATCTAAATACTTGAAGCTGTGGCCTAAGTGCCTATGTCAATGAAGATTTCTGTTAATTTAACTACTCTGGTCTGAAATATCTGTCCATTACAAATAAAAATATATAGCCTATGTATAACAGCTTGAAACACTGAGTGATACCGGCTTGTATCGAACTTTCTTACTTGAGACAATAGTTGGAGTAACATTCTTATTGATGAATATTTCTGGTAATATTTTTACAATCTGGGACTGGATTGTCAGAACAAAGGTTTTAATGGAGCCATTTCAATATTCATTCGTATATCTACTACCCACCAACTTTGTCCTGTGTTACAAAGGTACAAACTGTGTACATTGAATGTGGGACCTAAATGAGTTGTCGGTACATTGAGTTACATGTCGTTTAGTCTTGGATCCGAAAACTTCGTATTGACGAGACTAGAGGGTTTAAATTTCAATTTATCAATCATGAAAATTGATTTTATTGTTACATCACGTCATGGGTTATTCTTCAGATCTGTATCCTAGGAACAGCACGGTATCATTTTGGCAGCGATATTGGTATTGATGACATTATACTGCTGGGTCACGTACAAGGTGGGAACATCATAACTTCTTGTTTGTTTCCTTTATACATCTGTTGCACTCAAATACACGATCCTTTTTTACCTTTAAAACGTTTCGTCTGCAAACCATGGGAAGAAACTAATTAATTAAAAGGATTATGAAGATGTTACAATGACAGAAAAAAAAACTATAGTTGAATAAATAAACAGTTCGAAAGCTATATTGTGAGCGTCATAAAAAGTATTGTTTTAAAAAATGAATTCGCATTCAGAAAAATCCATTAATCTGTACTTTGTACATTCAAAGGTCCGTTTCAGACAAATCTTGATTGATTACTGAGTTAATTTCAGAAATCTGAATTTTTGGTGAAACCACTGAAAAAACATCATCTAAACATGGTTGCATACAGTGATAATGTATCAAACAACCGATCTAGGAAGAGGTTATATTTGGCGGCTGAATGAACGACAATGCTTCACGGCGATGTTTTGATGCTTACTGGAAACCTATCCTACCTTGATCATTCTGTGTCTGTTTCTTCATGCTACAGGAAGGGTATATTGATTATAATCTCAATATTTGTTTTCTAAATATTTTCAGAAATAACAACCACACCTCCACCCACCACTCCAGAACCAACTATTGATGTTAGCGGTAAGAGCTATAATATCTCCAGGTTTATTGATCACGTGTAGGTTAGGTAGGGTCGGGGTTAGGTTAGGTTAGGTAGGGTTAGGTAAGATAGGTTCAAGGTTAGGTTAGGTAGGGTCAGGGTTAGATTAGGTAGGTTCAGGGTTAGGTTAGGTAGGGTCAGGGTTAGGTTAGGTAGGATCAGGGTTAGATTAGGTAGGGCCAGGGTTAGGTTAGGTAGGGTCAAGGTTAGATTAGGTTGGGTCAAGGTTAGATTAGGTAGGGTCACGGCTAGATTAGGCATGGTCAAGGTTAGGTTAGGTAGATCCAGGGCTAGATTAGGTAGGGTCAGGATTAGGCTAGGTCATGGTTAGGTTAGGTTAGGTAGGGTTGGGTATAAGCGAATATCGCCACCTATAAGCCTAATAGGCGGCAATCCAACTTGTTTGGGTTTGGTAGGGTTAATGGTAGGAGGGACTACAATATGTACGATAACCGATTAAAGGTATACTGCCAAAAAAGTTAAACAAAAATTAAACTTTGTCAAAATGAGTCTTTGTTCATCGGTGGATTTACCTGGTGTCATAACTATACAACAACAACCGTATATAATCCAATAAATCTATGAAACATGCCTATAAGCGTGTTAAAATAATTATGTAGTTTATTGGATACATCGTCTTATAAAGAGATTCTATTCTTTTTTCACGGCACCTGATACGTCCAACTGATGAACAAAACTTGGCCAAGTTTGAGACTTCGTGTTCATTTTAAGAGCTATATACCTTAAAGAATCTTAAGGTCAATAAGAAGAAATACAGGTTAGGTATTGTTATCGAATGTGATTCAAATTGGAAAGTAACGGTATATTCCCAGCCCGATCTTACTATTTTATTTGTGTTAATCACATCTCAAGATCTATGAATCATCAACAAATATTGATACTAACTTAAGTCTGTTAACTACATGTATTCAAAATTGGTCTTCTCCTCAGGAACAAAAGCATTAAAACTATTTCAAACTTCAATATTGACTTACTCGATTACAACAAAGGGCTTACCTGCCGGAGGTTGCGTCTAAAAAATAGAAACTAGGGGTTAACAACCTCTTCACAAGGACGAGGTCAGGTTAATCATGGCTGAGTTGAGCTGGTGTAATAAAGATGGAGTGGGGAGTGGGGGAGGGGGGTTGATGGTTATGGAGCGTTTTTTTTTTCAATTAAAGAATGTGATACTCTTTAACATTTTGTATGCCTTGAATCGTGAAGAGAAGACAACTATTTGGCAAAATTTACGGCCTGGGTATGAAATGGTAGCAGCTTTCGATTTCAAGAATAATCTTGCTCCATTGAGTCAATAAGAGTGGAACGAAACAGTTTCTGCCAAGTTGTCATAAGATGTTCATGTTATACTTTGTAACAAAATTTTGTGAGCGAAAGTAGTTGCCAGGCTTTCGAAATTCACTCTCTAATGGTCTAAATCTCTTGATATGTTTTCATCTTGAAATGCAATCACTAGATAGTTTGAATGAGGTTGGCGGCACAAATAGGCAAATAAGGAATGTATAGACTAAAGAGATGCTTTTCGTTTACTTTGGTAAATCATTAACAATTGACAAAACATTAACAATTGATAATCAATATTTTAATATTTTAGAATTGAAGTGTGACTTTGAGCTCGATTTTTGCCAATGGAAACAAGATGCAGAAGATCAATTTGATTGGAGAAGAACTGCGTTCGATACGCCAGATAGATCTTCCGGTCCAATAGCCGATCATACAACCGGAAGTAGGTATTTTTGTGTATTGTCTAAACTCTTTTTGTTGAATTCTCTTTATTGAAAAGTGTCTCTCACTCACTGAAAAACAATTATAAAAGCTGATTTCGCCTTTTTAGTGTCTTCTTTTATTTCAAGAATTCATATGAAATCATCTGGCTATAATAGGGTATTTATTATCCATAACTCGTTCCCGTAAAAAAAAACAGCTACATTTACAATTTCTAAGCGTTGTATAACTCATCTGGATTTAAAAAGATCGCGATTGTATCATGTGAATTAAAACATGTATGTTTGGAACAGATCATTGAATTAATAAGAGATGTCAATTAAACGAATTGCATGAACATTAAAAACTACGATTTCTGTTTTCAGACGGATCCTACGCATTTATCAGTGGGCACGAGGTAATGCAAACATATTGGATCTCTCGAATGATTAGCCCAGAAGTTGTGGTCTATAAACGGACAACGTTTAAATTCTGGTACCATATGAACGGCCATGGTATTGGTTCCCTGATCATCAAGAGCCTATTGAATACTGGAAAAACGAATCTACTGTTTAAAGTGACTGGAAGACAGGGACCAGATTGGAATGAGGGAAGAATAGATCTACTTCCTGGAATTTACAGGGTAGGCTTTGTTGCTAATTTCATGGTACCAATCACTGTAATCATAAACGTAGAAACCAGCATTCGTGGAGAGGATAAAATTTTTCTTTTCAATTATTGCACCCTGACGATTACATCTGAAATTGTCATTGATGATTTTATTGTTTTACATTTCAGCTATCTATTGAAGCCACAGTTCGTCTCCACTATGGTAGTGATATAGCTATAGATGATATAACAGTTGTACCACTATAGTCGAGATGATCAGGTTGTGTCAATAGCGATAACTGTGCCAACCAACACAATGAAACTGTATATAATGTAACTGAAATGTGATCTGCATCATAGGGTCAAATTGGGTGTTTCAGAGGACTAGTTGTAATATAAGAATGTATTTTTATCCTATATTATCTAATATTCTGGTTAATAAAATTATAGAACTCCAGTTATCACTAATATCAATAAACTGCTTTCCATGTGGACAAAATTCTTTACATAACGTTAATGCAACAATCTTGTATCTCAATGTTTCACAATCGATCTCCTCAAAGCTATATCTACTAGGCATTACAAAAAAGACAATACATAACCCTTCCTAGGAATGAGCGCTATCACAGTTCAATAAGCGTAATCTTAATCTTAATTATTTAACCCCGAGTTGGATTTAATCGAAACAGTCTCACGAATGTTTAGCGAAATATATCTTGATTTATAAAGGATTTACATAATATTATCATATTACACATAATTTTATGGCCCCTGCTCATCGGATGTATTCTAGAATCGCCATTGTATATAACCCCAGATAGAGCAGGTGGTGTTACTTCAGACTTATACGGAAATACCAAAGCCAAGAAGTTTAGCCACAGACCAATGGATCTTCCGTCATTCCGTAGTTATCTTGATAAAAAACAAATTACCCTAAAATCCTACATTTTGAACGCTTATCTACTCTAAATCTGTTTTCTCTACATTGAGGATTTTTTGTCTGTAGCATGTGTCGATAGCAAGAGATCCAGCATTTGTCAAAAACTATAGAATGTCATTATTCAAGTTCAGCATTTCATATAGGATAACTATTGAAATTTACATGTTCCTTTTCATTCAAAAGTAGGTATGTCTCTACTACACTTAGAGAAAAATTGCCCACGCAAGTACGGTGATTTCAACGACAACAGATCGTCGAGCACCAGTTTTGTATATCTTTTCCCCCAGATCGTGATCCATTTTTTTTTATAGAATTTTATGGTAATGAATCCACTAAGATTTGATTTCCTTTGTTCGACAACTCGATTTGATACAGAAATATGTTACTTATTGCATCCTTGGAAAAATGTGTTTGCTCTTATATACGTTGTTTATTTTAGCTTTTACCCTATTGATGTTTCATCAATGGTTGCTATGGAAATACAAGCTAATTTTTTGGATTTGGACATTTCCAATGCACAAGGCATTTAAAATTTCCTCCCCTATGCCTTAAAGCATCTGATTGTCAACATTTCTTTTCTTTTCCACGGCTTTCATATAGACGCTGTGATTGTATTTTGTATTTATTTATAACTGGATTGCGATCAGAATTCGTGCCTGACAGTTTGCCTTAAAATCAGTTTAACAAGACAAAAGCTTTCATATCGGGCTGGTATTGATTTATGACGAATATGATACAGAAATATTTTAACAAATAATATTGTTTTTCAAAACCAGAACGTTGTTTAATCTGTAGTATTGACGAGATGAGATTTTAAAACAACTGATCTTGTCAAGCATGTGTTCCTTTTGAAATTTTACATGAGAAAATCTGCAGACAAATGGACTGTTGCAGTTGGTTTTAAACAGGTACATTTGTATTTGACAAGTAGAGATCGTACGATATCTGGTCTGTTGCAGTTTGTATTTGTCAAAATCGTCAGACTATTTATTTTGCAAGTACAGATCGTCAGATATCTGACCTTTTTCTGTATTTGACAACTACAGATCGCTAGATATCTGAGCTTCTGTGGTCTTTAGATGTATTTGAACAGATCGTGGGATATCTGGACATTTGCAGTCTGTACACGTATTTGACAGACCGTCAGATATCTGAACTTTTTCTGTCTTTTGCGCATTATCTGAGCAGTTCGACATGTAAATATCAAGGTTTTAGAAAAAGAGATTTTCAACAAACCGGACTGAATCACTACTGAAGTTAGAAAATTTAGAGCGCGAACTAGTGTCGGATGTTTTTGACTACAGGTGTAAATTGAAATATAATTCCGGTGGTAAATTCGAATTCAACTGACTAATTTTGTTGTATGATTAGCGAACTTTTCTCAGTATAATTTCATTGTGATGATATATTCAATGTTGATAGAAATATCACTTTGGCATTCTTGACAACCGTTCACAGATCTTGGAGTATATCGGAAGCCACTCTAATGCACGTTTTGAATGGTCACTTTCGATAGAAAATCTATTATTATTCGTCATGTATTGACACCAGACTGTGAAATCGTACAGGTATAACCACATAAAAGACAGAGACCTGTAAGTGAGGTGATCTAACTATAGTTGACAGTTCTAGCTTTCCATGTTTTTGTTCTCTATAACTATGTATAGCTATTTTGTAATAATTTCATCAGTGATTGGAACCGTGATGTTGTCTGGTGTTAGTGTTGATGTTCAGATCAAATACAAGATTTGTGATAATAAAATAATAAAAATATGGAAACGGGAAAAGGAAAAAGAAGCCAAGTCTTTGAAAATGTGTGGAATTCTGTGCTCCAGACTTCCATGGTGCCGAGCTATCACTGCATGTCCAGCTGGTACGGGAGGCTATAATTGTCAGTTTCATTATGGAGTATATTTTGCAGCTTGTCAATCATTTCGTTCGGATCTGAATTGTAAAATAATGATTGAGGTAAGTGAATATCTTTTGTAATAAAGCATCTATTGAGGTATCTTGGGAGTGAAGCAGAAAACGACTTCCATTACACTGTGGTTAACATAGCTGTTAAAAATATATACCTCGAAAAGGGAAAATGAAGTATAGTGAAATTCCAGAAGCGAAACAGAGTTGACAAATACAGTCCCAGTGTGACATAGTTGTTTTATATTTAATATAACCCCCCCCCCCCCCCCCCCCCCCCCCCCCCCCAACCCCCCAGCCACATTCACATTTCTTATTATTGAATTTTTTTAATACCTGGTGGTGTGAAACCATCTCAACAATTTCTCTGGCCCCTACTCCCTCCCGTCACTGCTGCCAAACTGAATTCATCTTCATCCCCAAATTCATAATATATCTAATATATCTCTGAAATCGATCATTATTCCTCAATGTCTAAATCAAAACCACCAGTCTCTATTTCAGACAACCAAAAATACGGAACCGATTTCAGCAGAAGGTTGTGCAAATGGTGGAATCTGGAATGGAACCAACTGTCGGTGTCTCGATGGTTTTGCTTCTCCGAAATGCGAACGTTACATTAAAGGTATCGTTATTTTTTCTAGACACAAACATAATATAAGAAAGAAATGTAGATTATTCGGTTAGACCACTGGTTTCTTGAATGTTATTTGCTAGTTTACATTGAGAAAATGATGGTCGTATCTCGGTTGGATCTCGCCTGGAGTGGGAGAGTCCCCAGTCCTAACATGTCTCCTGTTTAACATCAAATTATGTACTATCAAGTAGGTCTATCAATCGGTTCTAAGAAAATTGCCAAACCACATTTTGACAAGTAGTTCGACACGGTAATGGCGCATGTCTCAATATGCCAAGTAATAGGCCGATCCCTAGAACCTAATCAATTGAATTCAATGTGTTTTTGTATTACAGACTGTGAAGAAGGAGCTGATTTGGGATACAAAAACAAACCAGGACAATGGGATTATGTGACGACGCTCACGTGGTCGACAGGTGCCCCATATCCTTTTGAAACATTTTGTAACTATAATGACGGGAAGACCATCATGTTCTATAGAGGTTTTGGTGTTCCCATAAACTGGAATCGAACATGGCAGGAGTATAAGTATGTTTTAACTGAAACCAACGAGGCGTATTGGATGGGCTTGGAGAATATTCATTACTTGACGAATTCAGGTACACATCAATTACAGATTTACTTTACTCGATTTGCTGATTCAAATTTATTTGGACAATTCTTTTACAAAAATTTTAAGGTGGGCGCCGAAAGCACTGATTATCAGTTGAGCTATTCTTCACTTGAAGTAGTGAAAGAACCTTATGGACTGCAAGATGGAGAGCCAGATTCTAATACATTGGGACCAATCAACGGTTCGCGGCCATTTTGCACCTGGGAAAAACCCGGATGCAGTTCAGCGTTACAAAATGGCGGATGGTGGCACGACGCGTTTGCTACACAATATAGCTTAACGAAGCCAATGGAACCCGTCACTGTGCATTACCATGGTGAAGATGTTCAGGTTAATTCGATCTCATTTCAAGTCTATGACAACTCAAGATCCTAGATATTCGGCTGCACCAACGGAAATCCGGGCGAACTTCGTCTCAATTCATTTCCATTAAGTTACCTAGAACCACTTGTACGAAGTGTTATTACCTATGATATGACAATTTTTATTGGAATGACATCGATTGATAAACAAATTCCTAAAATTATTGGTAACATTACAATATATACTCTTTTTGAGTAACATTATTGATTACAATTATTGTAAACGTTCTACTACGCCAACCTTGGTATGTTTCATATCCGTATCTCTCTATTATTAATAAAATATAGACAATGTGGAGAAAATAGTGCCAACGTATATAAAAATAAGAGAAGGCTCCCAATGGCATAACAGGTACAAATGTAAACAAAGCTGTTTATCCGTTCGTGAAAGACTTCTGCTTTCCTTTTTTGGTGTTTTTGACGAAGGACTGCTTACTTATGACTCCGGTGTAAATTTTTATAAAAAAAGAATATAATATACAAAGAATTATGCTTGTAGACTATTTTCCAAAACAACATAAAAGCAGAAGTCTTTCACAAACAGATAAACGGTTTTGTTTTCATTTGTGCCTGTTATGCCATTGGAAGCCTTTTTTTTATATACGTTGGCACTATTTTCTTCACATTGCCCATATTTTATTAATTTTGACAGAACTTCTGTAGTCTGAAGCATATATGGATATCTGCAGTTGTCTCCCTTTATTCTATTATCATGTATTACTTACTATATGTATGCGAACTTCTGATCGTAAACAAACTAAAACTTTTTAATTTGAAACAACTTATATTGAGCAAAGTATCACAATGTCGCTTTTGAGAAAACTGGCCATAAATAAATGCGAATGAAACTGTAGAAACTTTGCTATTAGTTTGAAAACTTAACTAATTGAACAGTCTATAAAATCGATTTAAATAGTTGAATTAAACAACCACATGACTGTAGCCTATATTTGATTTGATTATGATGAAAAAAATTCCTGATTTCCTGCTAGTATGATGATACTGTGTTACTGTTGGTTAAACGGAGACTCGGATGTCATTTGGTGCCAATGTTCTACGGCAGTGCTTCTCAGCCCCAGTGAGATCATTCCTCCGCGAAAGAGTTCTTTTAAATCTGTTCCTTCCCTAAATAAATCAGTCACTTTGAAAACTATTTCACTCAAAAAAATGTATTCAACAATTAACCATGAATGGAAATAAAACCATACTCCAGATATCAAAATGGTTCAATGTGGTCCGTAATGCCTCCTATTTCCTTCCCAGCCGACGATTCCTCCCATGCCCCCATCCGGCAATAATTTCTCTGTTATAGAGGAATTTCTCTAGTATACGACTACAGTGTTGACGAGTTCATAAAGAACATACCACTTGAATTTTATTAATTATTACATTTGTTAAAATTGACTCAAAGTATTTGATATTGTAACGATTACCTTTATTTTATAATCCATTTCATAGTCATCCTGTTTATAGTCTGAAACACCCCGACTGTGATCTGGCTCGTTATAGTTTGTATCTATCAGATGTCGGTAAGCTAGAGTCATACAATCAAATTGGATAGACTGCTTAATCGTGTATATATTAACAAAGTACCTTCTTGGTTTAAAACTTCCACACCTACCAGCAAGGCCATATACAGAAAATGTCTGGAGGAGGATGAAGGAGATGGAGGGGGGTGGCGAAGCCAGAAGAGGAACAACCCCTTGAGGTCAGGGATCGGGGCTGCCCAGGGTCCCCCTGAAATCAACGGGTTTCAGATGCCTGAAATGAAGTTTGAGCATTTTGAGAGATTAATTTTCACTCAAAAAAGACACAATAGCCCCCCTCCCCCTATATACGCTACTGCCTACTGGGCAAAGCTTAAGTTCATGCGAAGCCGGCATCAATTTAGAATTGCAATTGCATCAAAGCTGTTTCTTTGCCACTTAAAACAATACATACACCACTTTTCAGCTGGAATAATACTGCATTTTAAATATTAGAACTTAAGAAATAACATAGGTTTTAAAATGCCTGTTGCTGTGAGATCTCCCGGACAATTATGTGGTTCCTTCCCTGCACTTCCATTTAATGATATATAGAAACGCGACTGCATTCGAATATAAGTCAGTCAGTTTCGGACTATATATATGACAAGACTATCATTATCAACAAGTACAGGAGTGACATCACAATATAATAATTGACCCTTGAACAAACAAACCACGACATTCACAATTTATTCAACAGATGATTTTCAAATAAACTGACAATTGATTCACTGTGACATCTCTTTTCACTTTATTCTGTCCCTTTGTTTCGTATCGTATTATATCATTGTAAATAATTGCTCTCCAGAGAATACTTCGTTTTTTATATCAATCAATTGATCAATGTTGTACGTATCTATGCCTTTGTGATACCGGACGATACGTGTCTGACGATTGGTGTATGATATGAGTCAATCTACCTGTTTGTCCACTATCCATTAATAAGAAATAAGAGTTTTGAACCAGTTTGATATTGTGATTGTACCAAAGGGAGATAAAAGTAAAACTGGAACCTTTGAGCAAGCAGGTCGATATTCTCACCATAGTTGTTTTATTGGTCAACGAATTATTCCCCATTCCTCATTATATACAGATATTTTAATAGATTTTTACTTCTATGCAAATCCGTAATTTGTCTACATAAAGTTCAGGTAGATCTAGAGTCAGATTAAGATAGGGACATTGACGAACGATCTTTTATACCCTTGTGGAATGTGCAGGAAAACATAAGTATAACACATATAAGGTACCTTTCTAGTGTTCATTTTCATCAAAGTAAACTTAAGCAGCTCATGTAGTCAGAAGGCCTGCAGGAAAAAAAGTAATGCAGCGATGTTAATGAATCATAGAGTGATTAGTAAAAACAATTAAAGGTGAATGGAGATATTAGTCATATTGTCTATTTAAGACTAGCGACTGTTTCAGCTATCTTATCTAGATGTCATCACAGATGTACTGTTTGATGATTCACAATGTACCCGGAAGGCGACTCAGAATCACATGCTTGTTTGAAAACGGTCTACCTTGAAAGTCATTCTTGCGCTCTGCAAGATGTTCAGCTTAACGGCAATTGCCGTATTACTTGCTTACTAACCTGGCCGTACGGGGTTCGACATCGGAATTCATTTCAGGGCTCGTGAAGTAGAGAAATGAGGCATTAACGCTTTTATTTTCGACATTTATTTCGACCCATTGCACCCTGGAGATTCGTGCTGCCTTTCCTGCAAAAGACGAGTTAGTTCCATTAGATTTTCAACCCGATGTTTCCCTGTTTTATGTAACTGACCAGAAAAGCGTCTGGACGTGTGGATAAAGAATCAATCGAGATCCCGTGTAAATCGAAAAAGGATAGGCTGGCTAAAATGTTTTTTAAAACAAGTCACTGCTTTTCATCATTGATTACCTGCCTTTCCCAATTAAAGAAAACAAAAAACGTGGTTTATTTCATCTTAAGTCTGTATGTATTGAGAATCCCCGCTGCTCAAATCTCATGTTCTATTTCTTTAAGTGTCAAGCAGAATTCCATGAGTCACAGGAGCTTGCATGAACAAAATGATGATAAACAGCGAAAAATATATTTTGATGAAAACACGTTTTGTGTGATTCATTCATTGACTGTGTGGTTTGATTAAAGAAGGTAATACAGATAGTTCAATTACTGACAAAATTATAGCGAACCTACCAAATTATGTTCGGTGAACATCGATGCTTTCGACCATCTTTAAAAATGGCAGAATTGATGTCAATGGAAAGTGGCAGTGCAGTGCCTTCTTTGACTTCTTTCTTTATTCGTAGAAGTATGATTGTCATTGCTTGAGGGGTTTTCTTTTTGTCTTGTGGATACAGACGTGCTCCAAGCTGCGCGACTTTCACTTTTGATCCATAGGAGGCCTTGGCAGACAGACCATCAGACCCGGATGAAGACGTGAACAACGTGAGCGATCCCATCAAAACGTATCGGACCGGTAGCAACATACATGCATCCCTGGTAGATCGCGGCCCGAACCTTACTGCACCTTGGAAGGGCCGCTTCCCAACGGCCTGTATCGGATACCGTGATAAACCGTGAGGAAACTCGGACACAACCTAACAAAACTTGGATATTGAGACAAAAACGGTCAAAATCCCAATGGGCAGTACTTTTTGGGCAAACGGGGCTGTCGTGGCCGCCGGGAACATAGTGTTAACCTATGAGTTACGGTATGTGTTTTAATGTCTACCTTGAAGCTTCAGTCGACCCATCTTCACAATGTCAAGGTATATTACGAACTCATGAGTTCCTAATACCTTGACTTGACATTGTGATGATGGTGATGATGCAGTCGACATTTTTTATACAACTAGCTGATCTCTCTTTCACCAGACCACATAGCATTGTTTCGATAATTATTTTGAATTGGATCATAGAGAAATCTTTTATCTCAAGCAAGCATCTGTGCGAAAAAGCAACTGAATATATCAATTTATTATAAAATACTGACTCATTTATGATTGAAATACTTCTTTATGTGAAAAGCTCATTAACTTTCAATGTATTGTCAATATGTTGTTTTGGATTTCGGATTTTGTTTTGCGGATTCGGATCGTTAGAACCCTATTTTTTTTTAAATACTTGTATGCAATGTTTTATGATTAACTACTTCCGAGATCTAAATCCATAGAGAGCTTACTATAAATAAGACAATTTATTTGAACGAAGATTAAGGTAGCTCTACACATACAATATATGATTGTTAATATGTTATTGTTGTAATGTCTCCCTTAAGATACTACTAAGGAGATAAAATGTTGATGTTATTTAGTTATTTAAGTACTTTATATGCTACTGCGCATCAGGAACAATTTGCTATACATTTATTTAGATATAATACAATGCGCATAACATAGAACAGAAAAAACGTACGCGCGCACACACATCCCTACATAATAGTTGACGTTATTTTATAACAATGTAAATTGTTGAAACGTTCTGTACAATGAATGG